TAGGTACACACTGAACATGGCATACCAAACTACTATCGGTGATCGGATAGATTACTCCGGCATCCAACCACTTAATGATTTGCTTCTTCACGACCTCTTGCATAGGTGAATTAAAGAGCCTCTGGTGCTCAATACGTGGCTTATGATCGGGCATGGGTTTGATTTTCTGAGAACAAATACCAAGAGGGATCCCAATAATGTTTGCAATAGTCCACCCAATAGATCTTTTGGACATTTTAAGCACTTTCACCAAACTCTCAACTTGTTGTTCATTCAGGTCTGATGCAATGATTACCGGCAAGGTGTCACTATTTCCTAAGCCTTCATACCTTATATGAGGTGGGAGAGCTTTTATTTCTAACTTTGGATCCTCTTTTATAGATGGTTTTGCGGGCGGAGACTCGTGATTCTTCATATTTAACTCATATTTCTTTGGTTTAAACAAAACATCACCATGATCAAGAGTCGCGACTAATGACTCATACTCTTCTATGCAATCGTTATCAAAATTCATTATCATTGCATTTAATGCTTCTACACCTAGACGTTTTTCTATTTGTGTCTTATATATCTCACCAACGTTGTAGGATATAGCAGATACCGATTAGAGCTCACCACTCTGCCTCATAGACCTACAAATGTTAAAGGTCACTTCCTCATTGTTCAACCAAAATTTCATCTGCCGCTTTTCCATATCTACTAAGGCTCTTCCCGTAGCAAGGAATGACCTCCCAAGAATAATGGACACTTCAAAATTGACTTCACAATCAAGAATAACAAAATCTGCCAGAAATATGAATGACTCCAGTTTTACTAGCACATCGTGGAGTATCCCTATAGGCCTTTTTACTGTTCGATCGACAATAAGTAGCTGCATTGCAGTGGGCTTTGGATCACCCAAACCCAACTTTTTGGAAATTGAGAGGGGCATGAGATTTATGCTTGCCCCCAGATCACATAATGCTTTCGCAAAATATAATAGCCCAATTGTACAAGGAATAGTGAACTCACACGGATCTTCCTTATTTTGTACCAGAGATCTTGTAGCAATAGCACTACAATGTTGCCTTCTATCATCATCCTCAAAAGTTACCGATCTTTTCTTTGTAACCAGATCTTTCATAAACTTGGCATAATCGGGCATTTGTTCTAAAGCTTCAACCAAAGGGACATTGATAGAAAGTTGCATCAACATTATTATAAAACACCGATATTCACCATCCTCGGTCTTTTCCACTAACCTTTGAGGAAATGGGGGGGGGGGTATAGGCATGGGAGTTACCTTTTTAGGCACTTCAGCATCTTTTCTAGTGTTATCTTCTACTTCACCATTAACCTCTACCACTTTATCAGTATTTTTTGTCACCTTTTTCTTATTAGACAACATAGGTGGGTCAATGGTTTTCTTACCACCGCGAGTAGTGATTGCCATGCAATGTCCATCATTTTCAGATTTTGGACAGTGTTGCTAGGAAGAATGCCCGGTTGCCGTGTGTTCACAATCGCCGATTATTTGGCCAATTGTAACTCAAGTTTCTCAATTGATATTGCATGAGTATCGACTTTCTGCCCAATACCCACTAAATCATTCCTCAACTCTTTAGTGTGCTCATCACTAGCATCAAACCTCCTCATCATTTTATGCAACATATCCTCAACTCGTTCCATACTACCTCCACCATCCCTAGGAGTAACTTCACAATTTTGAGGAGGAACAAATGGCCCATTCTTGTCATTTCTATTACGATAGTTACCCCTGTGGAAGTTGTTATCTCGGTTGTAATTTCCTTTTAGAACATAATGACCCTCACGGCTATAGTTACCATAGATCCAACCTTGGTTCCCTTGACCTTGGCAACAATTCTCCTTATTAGAGCCTTGGGCTTTCAGTAGGAAAACCCCCGTCAGCTTATTTACCGCATAGGAATCCTCCTCATAATAGCATTCATCATTTGGTGGTGGTGGTTTAGACAAGTAGTTGACTGCATTTATCTTTTTTGCACCCCAGTGACATGTTCTAATACCAACCCATGCTTAGTTCTCATCTAAGCCATCTCTTCACGAATCTCATTTGTGGCTGGGTTGTGTGTTGATTGCACTGCGAAGGTATTTCTCTCAGTATCTGACTTTCTAGTACTCCAAGCTTTATTGTTCCAGGAGATTTTCTCTAACTTTTCAGCAATCTCAGCATATGGACAATCTCCATAAGAACCACCTGCTATAGTATCCAACACCGCTTTATTATTATCATCCTGTCCCCGATAAAAGTATTCCTTCAGTGACTCATCATCTATACGGTGATTGGGGACGCTTCTAAAAAACGAGGTGAATCTATCCCAAGAACTACTAATTGACTCTCGTGGTAGTTCCACAAAGTTGTTCACTCTATCTTTGTGGTTTAGTTTCTTAGACGCATGGTAGCGTGCTAAGAGAACATCCCATGATTGGTTCAAAGTTAAAATTGAGTTATAAGGGAGCTCAGTGAACCACATAGAAGCCTCTCTTGTCAGTGAGAGAGGAATCGCTCTTAGCCCTATTACATCCAAGTCCAAGTAAGGCTTCCCTACACAACTTTTACACACTGCCCTAACCTTAGCTATATGGGCATGTGGATCCTCAGAAGGTAGTCCTGAAAACAAACCTCTGGCAGTGAGCATTTGCATCAGGCTACTAGTTGCCACAAAGGTGTGGCCTGGTGGTAGAGGGGGAAAGGCAAGTGGCCCATTAGAGTCTGCTATATTGTCATAGCCTCTGTAGTATTTTTGGTGCCGTGGAGCGGGATTTTCTCCCCTCTGTTGGTTTTCACCCGGAGAATCGCGTAACAACTTACCATGAACGTCAATCAGAGTGGGATGTTCTGGTTTTGATCATAATTATTAATACCCAAGTTTTGATTCATGTTTTGTAGTGTACGCTCTAATTTTTTATCGTAGGGAAACAAGGGTTCTCTTCCTCTCCGTGTATTTGGCATACAATGAAGATAGTTCAGGAAGAATAAGAAATACATGAAACAAAGTAAAAATAAGAAATTATCGACTAAACTATAGTAATAAGTTAAGTTAATCTAAAATCTACTTTCCCCGGCTGCCCTAAAATTTGATACGCTCAAACATACTTCTCAAATAAGAAGTAAAGCAGTAGTATCAAGTAAAGAACCCAACTAATGAGGTTAGGATCGTTCCTACGAGGAAAATAGTTCATACTTAACTTCAATCTATTATTACTAATTTTTAGTCAATTATTTCCTTGGAAAACAAAGACAATAAAGGGGGGGGGTTTACTTCTAAATGAATAAAAATAACAAGCTAAATTAAAGGAGATAACTAACAGATTCAAATGTTGGAGTTTAATCAATTAATAAAAGTAACTAGGGTTTACGTGTTCCCTACAGGTTCCTAACTTCATAATTCTAACTATCACAATTCTTTCCTAGTGTCTTGCAAGAAAATTGATAAGTTATGTATTTCTAAATCCTTGGTCCGGCATCTAGAAATTTCACTATGCACCTTGGTCCGGCTACATGTGTTGCTATACTAACCCTTACCTTTACCTCATATTAAGCATTGTATACGATATTTGACTAAGTTATTACCTCGTACCAATCAATACTAGCCTATTAGATAGTATTCACTAACTTTATGTTGATAATTCTTTTCCTATTATCTACCTCCTTGGTCCGGCAAGTAGCATTAAGGCAAGTTCTAACGTCGGCCCTCCGTTAAAAAGACTTCTAAGCGAAAGAATTATCAATACATGCAAGACACTATTCTAGAATTGTTATTTTAGTTAGATTTTATCTTATTATTCGCCCATGGTTCCCACAACCCTAGTTATGGAGTTTAGTTACCCATGGTCATAATCACAATATTTAAATATGTAATATAAAAATTCATGCACATACTTCAATGAGAAAGAATAAAATCCAGAAACTCACTTAATTAATCAAAAAAATCACCAACAGTCAATTACTGAAATTAATCGAAGACTGAATATTCTCCAAAAGTGTAATAATAACCACAAATTCTAATCCCTAAAAGAAGCTAAAATAATCAAGAGTCTAACCCCAAAAACGAGGTTTTTCGAACTATTTATAAAAAACAAAAACCTAATTAAAGAAGGACTCTATTTGCTGAAAATCTGTCAAAATGCGGATGGGTCGACAGACCAGGTGATAGTCGTCGTGGTCACGACGGGTTTTAATGGACTCCGTCGTCTCATACTTTGAAAATTCTTCTGCTGCTCTCTTCATTACCCTTGATGGTAGGTATGACGGATCGTCACAGGCACAATGGTCCGTCGAGGGTCTCCATTCCATAACACTTAAACTCTTGGAATTTAGGTACTGGGACTACTTCTCTGATCTTTATTACAAACCATCAGGATGGAATTTCATTGTTACGACGGTCCATCACGCACTTCGTAGCCCCACACTTTGTCAGACATCCCATCTTCCTTCAGCAGCTTCACTACGAGGCCACCTACGGACCGTCACATTTGTAGGTGGTACTTTTCTGCATTTCTTGCTCAAAAACATCCGCGTTCATCTTTAGAAAGATTTCCTGTAAATAAAGATAAACTTACATAAAAATTAATAGAAAAAGTATTTTGTACACACACTAAACTTAAGGAAAAAACATTAAAAATATCGTGAAATCACGGTATATCAGATAGCTACAAGACTTACAAAATAACTTGACATAGGACATCCTTGAACCTTAAGGATTTCTTTTGTTTGAGCTTGGGAAACACATAAAATCTCCTCAACATAGGGATATCCTTTTAAGCATCCATAACCTACACTTTCTATAAAAAGCTAACGAACAATGGGGTTAGTAGAAGAATGCACAAAGTATTAAAGCCATGCAAAAACATGCATTTAAAAGGAACATTTTTCTTGAAATCATACTTCATGCCTTTTTGAGAAAATATTCATGAAACTTTTATAAAGCACTGTATCATTTTCATAATTCATATAGGAATATTTCAGGATCTAACATAATAAAAAATCATATAATGTATTTAAGATATTTTTTAATCATTTTACAGTAAGCACCTCTTGATTTACAATGAACATTTTTCCCTTAACGCTGAACTTCTTTCTTTTAACCCATTAGCCTCCTAAGAAACCCTATAGTTAATTGGTGCAATGCATATCCTTAAGGAAACCATGCATACAATCTAAACAAGCTTATCATACCATCATAGAAGTATAGTACATTATAGACATATTTAAGTCAAGACTCTAATACACTTTACAGTAAGCTACATCAACTTGCACATATACTAACTTAACTTCACATCAATGCATTATAAAACCTTGCTCAGAACCCCAATCTAAGTCTACTAGTGAAATATACATGTGAATCCCATAAAATAATACATACTTAGTAAACCTATTATTAGAGCACAAGCGCTAAAATCAAATTCATACATCAACATAGCAAGTGAAGACAAATTCATCCAAACTAGGAAAGACCTTCATCAGATAGATCAATTAGGACTCATACCATGCACATCGTTATAGATGGTAGAGAAATACTACAAAGTAATTCACAAGGAACATAAACATAGTCACATGAATTTGTACATTTTCCTAGGACTTCCCTTCGGAGACACTTGTGCAATTCATAGGTGTAGTCACATACCCCCACCTACACTAAGCAACTACCCTTAGGTTATCCTAGTTAGGATCCATACTTTACTTCCATTGTCCATTTTACATTAGGGAAACTATATCCTTAACCAACACTGAGACCATGGGTGCTACATGGAATTTGGTGTTGTACAACCTTACACCAATGGAAGGTTCTCTAATTAGCCAACGAGAACATTAACACATGCTAGCATACTAAGAGAAATAACTTGCTCGATTTTATGTGGCAAGCATAGTTATGGAAGTTGGATGCATTTGTAGAAACCCTTTTTATGCCAAATGGGGCATTATAGTTATCCATAATGAAAAATCACTCTATGCCCTTTTGTCTATGCGGCTAACCACTTCGTGAGGACTATGGTTACCTACCTTACTCAAATGGTAAGGGAAACCACTCAACTTCAAGTTCTCTTGGTTCTAATATAAGTTCCCTTTTATTAAAAACGCTCATTAACATTACTTTTAATTATTACGCTTAGGAGAAATAACTCGTCATATTTAGCTCATAGGTCATAGATCAGAGTTCATCAATATAAATCTTGTGAGAAACCATTTCACATGGACATAGCATATGTAAGCACCTATGAAGTTTAGGGTACACTTGAGCACACCTTTCAAGGATTGACTGGACCATCATACATGTGTGTAGGTGTATATTTATATGTGAGCAAACCTTTCATATAGTACATTATGGTCACACATCTTCATAAATCAATGCATAAGTGTATAGCTGCGACTATATTATCAATCCTTTCATATAAACACGTTAAAAAAAATTCTTAACATATTCATGCACATAGAAAACCAAACCTAGGAACGAATTCTATAAAGGCACACATGTGCATTGCATAGACAAGGTCCCATACCCTTTCCCGTACTAGTACATGTATCAAGTCATCCTAGGTAATAGAATACATAAAATACTTCATAGAAATACACTTTAAATGCATAGTAGTAGACACAATTGCATATGAAAATACCTTTCATTATACACAATGAACCTACACTACTTATAAGAATGCATGAACTGTGAGTGTGCGTATGTTGGTAAACATGATCACATAATTGCTATCAAAAAACATTGAGGCAGCCACCCTCTTAGGACCACAATTCACATTCAAGCATAGACCATACAACACAATTTAGCATAGGAGACAAGCTAACTTCATATTACACTTAAGACTCCTAACCTTAGCTATTCACACTTTCACATTGGGGTACATAGGTAAGGGATCATTAACCAATTATAATCATATAAGGCGGTACCTAATCAAACCCCAACATGGTCTTACATTTACTTGTGACATAAGAAATACAACCTAGATCATAACTAGAATAGGAAAACTAGGCAAAACCTTTTCATAGGGTGATCATCACCAATACAAATTCATTGTATGATTATCTTCTAGGCCATGATTGCATCACATATATATTTACAATAAAGTAATCACCGCCACCATAAGTGGACCATAACACAAAATGTCATAAAAGGCCAATTCTATCAACAATACTATCGAGAAATAGAGAAGTAGAGCAATAAGGCAATTCTTACAAATCATTTAGACTTTATCATCATTGATCAATAAGCCTTTTTCATCAACGATTAATATAAACGGGCAGTGGCTAAATGTGCTTTAATCATAAAAGAAACAATTCACAAGCCACAACAATACAATGCTACAACATAGTACAATACATCACCAATATACTGGAAAGTAGAGATGTTGATAATTAACAAATTTAACTTGATTTAATTATCAATCATATTTCATCAATTATATCAATCTAGGGCTGTAGCAAAAGACATAATAACGTAGTCTAACTCATGCTTCATCACCCCTAGAAGTGAGATCACATTATGTACACAATTTATCAATCTTTAGGCTAAAAGAATGAAGATCAATCTTCCTTAGATTCCCTTAGTTTGATCATGAATGATTAATACCCACAATTCATAAATAACACCAAATAACGCAGTAGCTACAATTTTATTTAAATAAACGAAGCCTTCAATCATGCATTATAGAGTCAATGTTACACTAAATGCCATACTTAACAATATGTAAGAAGTAGAGATTAAGTTCTTCAAGTATCTATCAACATTGGGACAACAAGACATAATTCATCATCATAACACATTATAGGCAGTAGCTAAAGTACATTTAACCCTATAAGAAATCATAATCCTATTACCATAGAGTCGAGATACATTAAATTACATTAATAATTTATAGAAGATAGGAGAACATGAACCAATACAACCAGATCTTCAAGCCTTGGTCCACATTGGATACCTTACATATAATATACATATAATTATTATACATGATAGGAAGTAGATAACAATAAATTTAACATACCTGAATCACATTACACTCCTCCTAGTATAAAGATCATACTAGCCAATACATAGCATAAAACGAGAGTTGGATGGGAGCATCAATTCATAATGCAATTGGATTGAAATCTGCATTACAATCAATACATTATAATAAATTCATAACAAGAAAGACTTTGGGAATATTTTTGATAAAGAACCCATGGCTAGATTAAAGAAGAAATTTGATCATGAAACTTCTTTGAAATTATTAAAAGGAACTCTCTAGATGATAGAGTAACTAGGGATGAAGGATCAACATAGCTTAATGTAGAAGAAAACCTTTAAAACTTGAATAAGAACCCATTGAAATCCAAGCTCTAAGTTGTTCTTGAGCTTGACCTTCAATGGAGGTTATAGAGAGAGTTTGGTTGGGGAAGAATGTCTAAATTTTGTGAATTCAATTGGGATTGGGGTTGTAACGTTTTTGATCACTTAAATCCACCCAAAAATAACAAAATAAACCAAATAGGGTAAGGTTATCACTTGGATTGAATTTCCCATTCACCCCTTTAATGAAACAGTGTTCAGACTGTTGTTGCACTCACCATCGACGCGACAAACGATGCCATGTAGGTCTATCAACGGACCGTACTGTAGGACATTGATTGATTCTGAGGCTTAACAACATCCTAAAGCTTTCACCAGGCTAAGTTTCCATCGATGGAGCATTGGTGGACTGACGAGGCCTCCTTTGGCTCTGTCGATTGACACTACCAAGGTAATGTGTCGACAACCTTTTGGTCCTCCTTGAAGGCTTGCTGTGTGGCACTTGGGGAGTCGTACCAGGGCGTTTCAAATGTAAATACCTTAACATGTCAAGGACCTTCAAAATCAGTTTTGCATAGAAAAATTACACACAACACCTTCAAACATGCTAGGAACACTCAAGACACACACATTCATGTCTCAAACCTAACTTTCAAACTTCTTGGACGTTTGGCCTTTAAACTTCATTAAAAGCCAACATACTTCCTATAAACATTGTTTACAATCATATAAGTACATGATAAGCCAATTACATGCATATAAGCACATGAAAACACCTATGATACCTTTGGTGACTAGTCTGCGAACGTCTTGATTTTTTCTTGATGTTGGACTTTTGAATCACTTCAAATCACTAATAATTACTTTAAAACACATAATTAACATGTTAACAAGATTTTAAGAACAAATTAGTCTCTAGAAACACTAACTCATGTTGGGTGTCTTACACATAGTCAACATTTTCATGTTTAGAGTCCTTTTTATCAATATATCACAATACCTTAGTCATAACCCCAATCCAAATCAAATAGTGCAATGTGAATGTGAATCCCCGTAACCCCACATAAACAAATTAAACTAATAAAGAGGTCATAAGCATTGTCTTTTACCACATAAATAATCATAACAAATGTAGCCAATATCATGCATAACCATTTAGCCTAATCATCATCTATCTCAAGTGAAACAAACATCGTACATATTATATTAGATCAACATCATGTATTTCATATATATATAAATAACTCACCCTATAATTCCCCTCAAGTTGAACTTGTGCATTGTGTATACAAACTCCCATAACCTTACCTACACTAGGTAACACCTCTTGAGTAGTCCTAGCTAGTGTTCATCTTTTTTTTAGTTTCATTCATTTATTTTATCTTACAAAACTTTTCTATAACTGACATAGAACATGTGAGCTAAAATGAAATCTGGTGTCATCCCCTCACACCAAAAAGAGGGCGTCATACTTTCAAAAGGAAGACATCAACGCCTTAATAGCATCTAGTTAGATCAACTAGTTACATCCTATGCGGTCTTCATAGTTAAGGAATATGTAGATTGTTAGTAGAAAACCTTTTTATACTATAAAGAATTGTAGATTCAATCACGTTAGAACATTGAGGGAATCTTCCTCTTTAAGAGACGCCTCTCATGCATATCCTCTCGATGTTATGCTGAATTTCCTTTTTGATATGTATTTAAGTCTTTCTTAAATATAAATTCATAACATATGTCATAGGAGCTAAACCCTCATATAACATGTTAATAGCTCATAGGTTATAAAATGACAAAGTCCTTTCATCACAAACCCAATATAGTGTAAGAACATTAAATTATAGCATAGTCATAAGATATACATAATATTATCTTCAACCCCTCCTAATAGCACAACTATCATCATATCAAAATTATCATATTCATAGCATGATCATCAATTCATAACTTACCATTCATACTTCTATTAATCAACTTTACCAAATATAATCCAACAATACGACAATAACATATTCATTACCTTGAAGGTCTTTTCAGTGGCCTCCAAGAAACCCTTTCAATACTTCTTCCTAAAACAATGAAATTAACCCATCAAAACAACTATCATCATCATGCAACAGTCAATTATGCAATAACATACTCAATTACATCACGTTTAAGCATTAATTAACATATTACAAAAGCTAGGGTTAGGAAAAAAGGGTTAGTCATGGATCATTATTGAATTAGGTCAAAAACCTATATTAATACATCAATTCATTTATAAACATTCATAATCGATCATTATTAATCAATTCTAGTAAAAGTAAGTCTAGTTTAAGTTAACTTACGAATTAAGGTAAAATGTAGAAATTTGGAACAACATTAAAATTCAATTTGAAGGAACCTCTTGGGTAAAGGAGTTTCAAGAGTGAAGAGTTCCCATACCTTGTAAATCCCAAGGATTTGTGATTAAAATCCTTGTTCTTGATCTCTACTTGAAGCTTTGACTTTGTTTTTCAATAAACTCCTTGGTTAAAGAGAGAATCTAGAGAGAAACTGGAGCCTTTAGGGTTTTGGGATTATAAGGTTTAAATGCTTGTTTTATGTCTTAAAATCCTTTAATATACCTTGAGTAAAAATTTTAATACGTCCCATTATTTTAATGGAAGATGGTGGAATTTACAAACAAAACTTAGCTTGGCCATGTTTCTACCAATATGCAGACAATATCAACGCCCATGATTTGTTGTTCTTCAAACTGTGAACGAATCGTCCTGGCACTCCGTCATTTTATTCAGAAAGTGCTCAAATGGATCCAATGCTGCATAACTCTAAGTATGACTCACAAAACGCCATTGACGGGGCATGAGTCTGTTGATGGGGTGACAATTTCTCTCGTGGATTGCTTGCTGCTTTTTGATAAATTTTGGGTCAATTGGTTGGGTCCTTCTCAAGGACCCCTCGGATGGTCATTTGGGAGTCATACCCGGACGTTTTGACCCTTAATACATACTAATATGTATTCGAAGCATGTTTACATGATTTATCATTCATTCGACTAACCTTCCAGACTCCTTGAAAAATCATTTTCACTAGTCTATGGACGTCATGGTCGTTCCTTGTTATATTTACTCTAATACCGTCTAACCAAGTTAATTACTTGAGGTTAGGTCAAAAAACACCATTTTAACTCCATTCACAGCTCTATATTATGTATTGGATTTTCGAGGTACATTATGCCTTCTATTTGTGATTTAGAGAGTTCATGTAGCTGCTTCGAGTACTTTATAACTTGATAAGACTGATAGTTTTGTCACCTGGTTGTTAGTTTGGTTTTTATTCAAATCTATCTGTTTTGGTGATTTAGAACCTTGAATGGTTACTTTTATTAAATGTTCAGGAAGTTGACATCAGAATCAAATTTTGAAGATTCCATCAGCTCCGAAAAAGTGATTTCAGGCTAGTTACAAGGTCGAATCAACTCTCAAGGCTTTCAATGTTATTTTTTATAGCTTGACTAAGTTACTGACATTAAAGTTCAAAAATGAAAATTATTTTTCAAGGGGAGGAGAAATATTACATAAGCAAATAACTTGAGAATATAATAAACAAGGTCAAGTAGAAGAGAAATATTACTTAAGACAATAATTTGAAAATATACTAAAGATGGTCAAGTAGAAAATATATAATCTTATTTAATTTTAGCAAATATATATGTGTTAACTCAAAATGGTTTCCTTTAAGAAATTGAATTTTTGAAACCTTAAAATCAACTTACCAATTAAACAAATAGTGACAGTTAAATTGATAAGGAAATAAAATTTGTGGTGGATATGTCTGACTGGCCAGCTCTTGGGCTGGAATTCAAATTTGGACATATGGCCAGTTTGCATAGGTCCTAAAGAAACTAAGGTAAATTGATTTCTCCATTGGGCTCTAGGCCAATCCTTGAATTTTGTACATGTCCTAATTATAAACACATAATAACAATAATAATGACAAAATGGGCTTAGGCCCAAAGTAACAAAAATACGTCTTTAAAAATAAAAGGTGCGCTTTTAAGTCCATTTATGCTACACTCCAATTAGCGGCACATTATCATGTATTCTTAATATAAACATAATCTTGGAATTTTTTCATTGATTTTTGTGGCTGGCCTACTCAAAAAAGACAAATTTTGGGCCTTGTGGCACAAATTGGAAAATACGTGGAATGGAGAAAGTGTTCCGGGAAGACTGAGATAGATTTACATGCAACAAAATTTATAAGATAAGGATCAATAAGTTATAATGAACAACAAAATTGATTTAACTCCCATACGACAAAAGTAAGTTGTCAAGATCAAAGTAGTTTTTGATACACAGCAAAAAATCCATGATGGGTTTTAATAGGAAAAGAAACAATGGAAATAACATCATATCATTTTACTTTAATTAAGAAGAACAATAGATAACCAAAGAATAACTAACAATTAAAGTACAACAGCATAGTAAAGGAAAAGATAAAGAATAACAAACTATGCAAAATTAAATAGAGAATTACGCACATTTCAATAAACCAAAGGCACCAATGTAGATACATACACCTAAACCTAGTATGATTGGATCACATAATTAATTAAGTTAACCAAAACCAGATAATAAAAAACATAAGGAAGTCACATTTTAACAACTAGAAACAACGAAAAAATATACACATGAAAAAGAAATAAGAAAATTGATATAATAATGAAACGACAAACATAAAAATTGTTAGAATTTTGTTCTAATGACTATCTCTTGACTAAAGAAAAACTCTTCTCGTGTGAAGAGAACGTTTAAATCTAAAAAGTTAAAACTATTATGTTGATCTATGATGGAGGAATAGCATCAAAACAAGTCAAACTACACTTAAGAATAAAAGGTACAATTGAATTTTAACTTCACTTCGGAAAACCAAGCAACCCCAACTTACGAAGGAAAACATATGCGTTCCAGAAATGAAATAACAGCAAACAAATAAGCTAATGTAAAACAAGGTTATGATAAGCTATTAAAATCTCATTAAAAGCCAACATACACACGAAAAAGTCAACATTTAAAATAGAAAAGATTTACCTACAAAATAATAATAGGTTAATAATAGTGGAAATATGCTATTATGGCTTAAAGAAGATAAACATCATAAAAATAACTATGTAGGAGAAAAAACACGCGGTAAAAAATTTGAATGATACAACATTTAAACTCAACATTTAATCAAAATGAATATCAGATTAATCCAAGTTAAATAAAACAAATAAATAATTTATCCTCAAAATGAAAAGAAACCACATCGGAGCCGACAAAATTAAAACAAATCATTTAAACATTTCACATATAGCACTTCATCATTTCTGATTCAAAATAAGAGAGGGGAGGGAGAATCAGTAAAAGAGAACGAACCAATTTTGGGGACCAAACTTGAACTGACTAACTCGATTAGAGCATCTACCACCACTTCGAATTTAAATAACATTGGTGAGATCTGACAATCCATGATAGAAGAAAGAGATATCAAAGATGCAAATCCTTTTGGATTCTAACAGATAATTTTTTTGTTGAAGTTTTGACTCTCTATTCAGGACCGTAAAAAAACTTTTCTCTATAAACTATTGTTTTCTCTACCAAAATTCTATTCAAAAAAATTTCAAATATCTTCACATTAAAAAAAGAGGGGGTTATAATGAAGTAAATTAAGGTTCAATTTTTGTGGAAAAGGATGAGAAACGGATAGGAACAAGGACCAATTAAAATTCAAACCCAAATGTTCATCCAAAACATTAGGAATATGTCAATTCCTTCTGAAATTTCAAAAACTTTCAGAAGGGGAAAGGGATAGGGGGATGATTCTTATAAATTCATTGTACTCGCATCTCGGTGTGGCTCAGGCTCGTTGGTAAAAGGACGACTCATAAGGCTTTAGAACTGAAACGACACTGTAGTACAATGTGCTCCAGCAAAGGAGAAAGATTTGGATAAAGATGCTATGCATAAGCATCTTTTACTCATATTTAGGAATCATTTGGTTGATGTGGATGACTCGAATAGATTTATTTTACCTGCTGCTCGACCTTGATACTACCTGTCTTGTTGTGAACTATGGATAGGACGTTGTGTCCTTACTATAGATTTTGATATTGTACAATTGTTTTTGAAATTGTTTATGGGTCTGTGGGAATACAATAAAAAGGTTAAGTCTAACGAATAATCGGAATGGATAGCTAATGGTTCAAAATGGAGTGGGGTTGGGAATGGAAAAAGGAATTTGAATTAGGTGCTCGATTGATATGGACAACTAATTTATACATGAGCGTTGGAACTTTCCGAAAAATTGGGTTGAGTCTTGGTAAGCTAAAATTTTAATATGGGTTTAAAATGGGGTAAGGAAAGTTGAAGGAACGTCCCTAAACTTAGTATTTTAAATGGTTTAAAGTGATGTAAGAAAAGGTTTATTGTTGCAAATTAAGGATTCGACCAATGATATTCCATCATAGCTAGTTGGTGTTAAAAATAACCAAATTGATATAATTATTTGGTTTTTGTCACAACTTAAATATGACAAATTTATATAATATTAACTAGAGAGCTTATTAATTTAAACCAAAAAAAATTGTTAACTTAATTATAAACTAACAAACTTAATTAGTTAAAATTATAATTTTATCTTATACTAGAATAAATTAATAAAATATTTATCCTAAAATGTGTAAAACCTCTTTAATTGGTGTAACAACCTGAAAATTACTATGTTAAATAATGCTTAAATGTACCTAGAATTCCTAGATAAGACTGGGTTCACACAGCTAGTTACGCGTGGAACCAGACCGTAGAACCTATGTACTAGCCAAGACGACCAACTTTGTGAGTTAGTTGAGCTAAGCAAGGTGGGAACCAAACAAAAAGGGCACCCGAATTATAGAGATTTACCCGTATGAGTTTTTACGGAACTTAAAAAGGGTAATCTTAGATTTGGAGGGTCTAGGGGTAAAATGGTCTTTTCAAGGCCAAGGGTAATATTGTAATTATTCTAAGGAATTAATTAATTTAATTAGAGGAATGGTTCTAGTCTTGTCGACCGGGAATGACCCATTTTGCGATGGAGGTTTTACCCCATTTCGATCCTTGATGGAAGCAACGTTTAGATCGATTAAATTGATTAATATTATCTGATTTTGTAGGGGCATGGTGGTAATTTCACTTACCAATTGAAAAATCAGATTTTTAATAAGTTAAGGAGAAGTCCTAGTTTGACTAATTCTCTACCTAAGTATCCTAATCCTAAGGTACAACTCATTCTCACGTCTCTCTCTACTCCCACCTCACTTACACGATTATTATTCAGTAAAAGAAAAGAACGAAATTAAAAAAAAATAAAGTTCATCAAGAACTTGAACGCTACAACTCAAAAGTAAAGACAATATGAAAATGTAAAGCAAAAAGGGGTTTCTCGACGAGATTGTGCTGACATTTCGGTGGTGAGGTTTGGTTTCTTGAGAATTGGAAGCGTTGAAACAACTGTTGAACGACACTACGGTATGGTTTTTGTTATATCCTCGTCCCTCCTTTCCCAAGAGACTCCTATGTTTCAGTTTAATCTCAATCGAAAACCTAAGGTTGTCCCTGTCCTATGCCCCTGTCACTAGATCCTCTAAAAGAATTGATGCACGCGATTGTATGTCTTCTGGTAGATGATTTTAGGGCTGATTGTGATTACGTATTTTTATGTGTGTTCGGAAATTATGTGAGAAATGATAAAGTATTTCCGAAAATGTGTAATATGTTAACTTATGGGTGCATGTATGTGCCGTGACCTTGGTCTTTGTTTGAAGCCTGAAATTGACATGTTAAATTGTTGTACTTTAGGTGTATGAATATGTTAAAACCCTAATGTTCATACGAGTGCAATGTTGCTGAATTGAGTGCAAAATCTTGATCAAAATAACCACGAAAGTGCACGTAAAGATGCACTAGATGCTACACGAAAATTGTCCTAAATCTAATGTTTAATGGTTGACAAAATGGACTGCAAAAAGGTGATCAAATTTCAAGCTTTTGGAAATTTGGTTTCTCCTAAATGTTGGACATTCTTGAAATTTAAGAAGAAACTAAAATATGTGAGGTTATTAGGGATTGAACCTGAGACCTCACTACATGAAAGCTTAAAAAAAGGTAAATTAAAGAAATGAGGTATAGGGGATTCGAACATGTGTGAGTTGAATGAAAATAAGACATAAATAGAAGTAGTCATGTGGGGTTCAAACCCACAACCTCTTGGACGAACGCAAAAAAGGAGAAATATTATTAAAAATAGCGCAAGGTTGTGGGGGATCGATCCCACATCCTCTCGGTTCAACGAAGAATAATTAAGAAAAAAAATAATTAAATGAAACGTGAGTGTGGGGTTTGGATCTCGGATCCCAAGCTTAGACATTTTAAATTAAGTAAAGAAAAAAAGAAGATAAAAAGAAATGCAAATGTAGGGTTTCGAAATCGAGTCCCAAGCCGAAATGTAAAACCAAACATTAAGTGGAATTATGTGTTGTCCAAGGGATTTAAAATCAGGTTCCCTTGCCCATTTCAGTATTGAACATAAAGCGTACGCAAATAAATGTTTAAGCGAATGCTTCCTATAAGGATCAAAATTGAGATCTTGGCATACTTAAAGAATCCATAAGTCTTGTACCACATAAACATGGGTAAAGAAGAATCACATAAATGAAATATGAATGAAGCCCCATGGCTTTTGTGAATGGACTCATAAGTCCAACATACGTTTATAATGTAAGTGAACCTACAAGTTTATGTGATTAATGAACCTTAGAATGGTTATGTAAGAGTGTGAAACACACTAAAAAGGCCAAGTGCATTGGCATGTGATGAAATGAACAATCACGTAATGGGGTGAGTAATTATGAAGAGCACTTGTGCTAAAGCTAATGAATGTAGTGACAAAATGATAGGAGGCTAATGTTAAAGATGAGAGCGATACCAAATGAGGCTAAGTAAATGTTACCAAAAATAACGTACCTATGAGAGTGTAAAGTTAATGAAGAGACCAGTCTCTATGAACACTATAATGAAAGTATTAAAGTTAATGTATACTTGATACTAATGATGAGATAAAAAATCATCTAATGAGATATGATGACCTCATGCTAAAATCCAATTTCTATGATGTGTGAGATGAATGTAATGGAACTTTATACTGAGCATCAATAGACTAGCTATGAGTTGCGATTCTTTCATTAGGGAAGGCAGAGGTAAAACGTGTAATTCTCATGAGATGAGATTGTCCGTCCACACGGGTAGGGCTCTCGTTAAATCCCCTAGTCTTTGAACCTATGCAGCCAACAGAAGGATCTAGCTGTGTTTTTTACCCTATATACATTAGCATATTTTGGTTTCACTTTGGCCGGTGATTCTACCTCTTTTTTCTTTGGGGTAGACAAAGGATATCATGGAGCTCACATGATCTATGTCGGTTAAAGTTAATGTTCCCAAAGAAAGAACAAGGCCAGCCTCAGTTATGCACAATATGAAATGAATGATATGAAAGGTGTTGGGTTAGGATAATCAAGAAGTGCACTAGTCTCAAGTAATGACAGTAGGTCATTCTTGATCGTTGCACAGTGAACCCGATGTTACTCTTAAACTACATTCTAGGTATAGCTTGTATTGCACTAGTATATCAATGAAAGAAACGAACAAAAATGAAGCATGCTTGAATAAGTAAAGCAGAATTTCTGTTCGCTACAGAAGACTCCGTAGTTGAGGTCCCATATGTGGATCTATCATTTTGGGAAGTCCTAATGTTAAGTCCATGATTCTAAGGTCTCAAGGCATATGAACAAATGATCTGTGGTATAAGTACGTGCTATATGAAATATGTTATCTGTTGTGTATAGTGTGAAAAGAATGATGATGCATGTTACTATGATAGATTGACTATCCTAATCCGATTTGGCAAGTCCATTGACTTGACTTTCCATAACTCATGTCATTAGAAGAGAGCTCTTCTTAATCATGCATGTCCTTGGTGCGTTCTTGCATACACCCATACTTTGTACAAGTGTGTACTAATACAATATAATACTCTACTTTTAGGTGAAACTGTTGGTGGACACTAGAGTTTACAAGACTGCGTTGGAGCTATCCTGACGTGGAGCATTCATCTGGACATTTTAGGCTCTTATGCTTTGGAGTATTCTTATCTTTTATATTCTAGCTTAGATGTAGGCATGAGTTAGTGGAGAGTGTTCCACTAGAGTTTCTTTCTTACTTATTGCAGACGTTGTATTGGTGCAATTTTGGCATGTTTATATTTATGAAGATATGAACTATTTCTTATTCTGCATATCTCAATATTAGATGTTTGCGGTGAACTGATGTGATATACTTCAAAGAGCACAAAACTTTAAAATTTTCTGCTAAAATTAACTTATACGATGTAATGATGACGTATGTAGGCTTGTCTGCGACCTGTGAGAGGTCAATTGCCGGTTTAGACTAGGTTTTAGACCCCTGTCATGACAATTGGTTTTCGGATAAAATGTCTTAATCATCTACATAATTATATGACAAAATTTGAGAAAAATGAAATTTAAGAATCCAATTTTGAGTAGCCATTTTTTTTCTTTACAAATGGGATTTTTGTGCGGACATTAGAAATTATGCCCGAACACAGGCAATATGAGAATTCAGGCAACTTATAGTTTTATATGATTGATTTGATGTACGATTTTGAAATAATTAAAATATCATCCTGATATGAAGCATCCTAAAAATATCATCCTATCAACATATCTCTTAACTTAAGGAATCAGGCTTCTTGTAGTTTGACTCGGATGATTGACATGGAAATTATGTAATATAACCTTCGGTTGGGAAGATTAGAATGTAAGTCAAGTATGAAAAGGATGCTTTCAACCTCTTAGCATGACCGATTCGCGCTTTACACATATAAATAACAAATTACACTGATATAATTTCCGAGGATGTTGGCACATTTTCATTCGGATTTGAAAAGATTCCTCATTTGAAAACTTGAAATTTCAATATGCAAACTGAAACCAAAACCGATAAAACTAGGAAAAATCAGTTTGACTTATTATAAGGGTGTGGGTTAATTGTGTTACGACTCATAAAATGATATGTTGTAAAATAGCCTTAACATTTGGGTAACTGTGACTTTAGATCGATATTTAAGTTGTTTTAGAAACTAACTAGTTACACCATTAAT